ACAGTCTTGATCAACGGAGCGGTACCTCTGGTTTAGTTCTTGTAAAGTAGCAGTCCCTGTAAAGTAGCATTATTTTCTCTCTTGTAAATTATTGTCTTGAGTTAGTGTATCGTTTTGGTCTACCTGTGCATTTTGAGCACATCTTTTAGGTAAATTTCACACATAAATATATTTTTTGCAAAAATTTTTTGAGCACTTTTTTTATTGTTCCATCATGACCTAGAAGGGGCGAAGGGAGGGAGCTATAACAATCTCGTTTGTGTAGGGTTTTTCAACAGAACCGTGTGTAAAATGCGTTTTGCATTTTCAGCTTACAAAGAGAGAACTGTCTGACGCTGTTAAATTTTTTTTTTTTTTTTTTTTTTAGCAAACAGGAATACTGCTCTTTTACGTGGTTCTGTAAACGTATTTCGGGATAATCATCTAAACTGTTAATGCCAGCAGCATTGCTCCCCTTCCCAGGTTTTTTTTAAATAGAAAGTTATAGTAGGGAAGAATGGAATAAAGAGGAAAAAAGGAAGGTAATTGGTGGAAATTAGAAAATTTGTGAGGGAATTAAGTTTTCATCTTCGGATCTTCACGACATTAAATCGAAATTCCTCATAATTTTGCACCCGAAAGAAGGCTCAGGCCTTTTCTTGACATAACACTATCGGTTCGGTTCTTTTTCTTTTCATAATTCTGTTCAAAACTGTTGAAAATATTACAAGGTCTTGTGCTGATAGTGTGATTACTTTGTTGTATTGGAAGGCGGTAATTTTTTTGCTAACGCAGCTGCCAGTGACTCAATTTTGAGGATTTTTCAAAACATGAGCATGAAATTATGGTCAAGAGGTGAATGTGATGGTTTGAGACAGGATCACCACACTTTTGTGAAATGTGTTCTTTTTTTTTATACTGTTTTGATGTTTTGGTTGTTTATTGGTATTTGATAATGGAGTTTCTGGAGCGGATGACAGGATCTTTTGGATTTTAGACACATTACGATGGGGGTGGGGGGGGGATAATTAATAAGTATACATAGGGGTAAAGGGAAAGGGGGGGGGGGAA